CTTTTTGGCTAAAGCTAACTGTGAGGTACACATGCTAATATAATGTTTGTGGTGTTATATTATTATTATTATATTAACTAGATGTGCAGCATGATTACAATTAAATATCATTTGATATGAAAAAACGAAATGATGCTTTAAGAATAAAGAAAAAAAATACCTGAACATTCTTCTCACAGTCATCCATATACAATAATCACGCTTTCCAAAACATTAGGTACCCCTACAGAATTGAATTGATCATTTATAATGCACAATCCCAAATGCACGACTATATCTGATTATAAACTGACATGGTTAGATTTCTCTTGGACTCATAGCATGGCGGCCCCCGTCGATGGGGAGGTTGACTCCAGTAATGAAACTAGCAGCGTCCGATGCCAGGAAGGCGATGCTGTGCGCCACCTCGTCCACTTCACCCGGTCGGCCAAGTGCGTGAGTCTGCTTGGACTTTTCAAGGAACTAAAAGGACAAAACAAAAGAGACCATTCAAAAAAAACTATTGATTTAAAGTTGTGTCCATGCACACCAGGCTATAGCTGAGGTCAGAATATAGAGTGGAACAGCCCGCCCCAATGGGTTCTGTGACACTGATTGACTTCCAAACTGCTATAATATCAAAATGACTGTCATACAAGAGGTTAAACACAGAATAGTGAATCTAAAATGAAGTAACACTAGATAAAACTAATTTTGATATTGCTTCTACGACATATTGTTCGACCTTGAAGGATCCTTGGGTCTGTTAAAGCAAGGGACAGGCAAGTGTCAATGTTGCTTTACCATAGCAGTCTCCTTCACACTCATTCCTGCTCTCTTGAAAACGTCTGTGACGATCACACCAGGGCTGCAGAATTAAAACACACCACGGTTTAAAAAATGTCCTCTGCAGGGATTTGGAAGAACATGAGGTCATTGAACATACCACACAGAGTTGACTCTAACTTGCTTTGGTGCCAGTTCTGAAATTAAAAGCATGTCAAGTACATTGTTTTTTTTTTTTTGTTTTTTTTTTAGTGCATCTTTAGATGGAACTACTGACTCACCCAGAGCTACACAGCGAGTGAATTGGTCAAGGGCAGACTTGGACATACAATAGGCCAGGTTGTCAGGGTACTACAAAGAAAACAATTTGAAACATTTCCTGAGGAGAGATGTCCAATGTCCAACTCGGTGATCATGTGTGGCTGTTTATTTGATTATAATACATAGATAGACTATATTATTACATGTTAGCTCATATGTTCTTAAGATAACATATAATTATGTTGGTATCTTCTGTGGTTAAGCCATTTGAAGCGCTGCAGTTTCTTTGACTTAACAGAATAGGGTGCAAAGGGTAAATAAACTCTTTGTTTGTTTGTTTAGGGACTCAAACTGACTTTTTAAACCCTTGGATCCTATGGAACCTACAGTACGGTACTTCACCAATGCTACGCTGGAGGATGTTATTTTTTTAATATTCAACTTTAAGCTGTATTGAATGTTAAAAAAAAAAAAGGTAAAGCTTATCAAACTGGCCCCTGCAACTTGATCCACCTGTTGTATTTGCAGCCACATCTCATATCTCTTGAGCTCATCCGCGAACACTTCGTGCTAGCTCAATGAATAAACATTTGAGGCAGTCAAGCGTACGGTATGATGCAGAACTACATTTCTGAGATTAACTTGAGTGGTCACCATTGTGGTGTGTGACTGTAACTCCTGTGAAGGTGACCAAAAGCTCATTCCTCACCAATTCACTTTTTTTTTCCCTTTTACCTATCATTCATGGAAAAGATGTGTTTTTTTCTAAAATGCCCTAATTATGCACTAAAATCCTGTCCAAATTGGAAATTAGTACTACAGTAATTGGTCCACCAAAATATGATGAAGTGATAGCAAGGAGTGACATGTGCACTTAAGCTGCGTTTTGTCTAAAGTCAAATCATATGTAAGCCATTTATGTTGAAACGTAAAGCTGTAAAGATGCGATCGAAACGATTTTGGATGAATTTTGTGATCACAGTTTGTGGTGTACTTATGGTTGAAATTATTTTCAGCAATTTTAATCATGTTTCTCTGAAGCACTTGTCATGGCAGGGATCGGTTGCTAGTGGGAACCTGTAATTGGTTACTGTAATCGGCAGCCACATGAATCATAATCCAATCGAATCATGATGTGGATAAAGAATCCCACCCCTTGGGAATGTCCATACCGATCTGAGTCCAGCGATGCTGGATACGTTGACAATGCAGCCTTTGGTCTTGATCAGGTGAGGCACACAGAGTTGGGTCAATTGGTAGACAGATCTAGAAAACAAGTCCCAATTGGAAAGAGCTCCAACAGTATAACCGGCATGAGTGCGTCTCCATGACGACGCTCACCTGACATTAATGTTCATGACCCTGTCGTACGTCGCCAGGTCTGACCTCTCGATGCCGCCTATTGCCAGGATGCCGGCGTTGTTCACCAGGACGTCCAGCCGGCCGAAGCGCGCGATGACTTCCTCCACCGTCTTCTTCACTGTGTCCTCGTCTGTAAGGTCGCCGGGCACAAGCAGATGCTGCACGGTGTACGCAAAGCATAAGTAACGACTCTTAAGACCTTACTGACACGCTGTTTAAAAAACAAGCAAAAAAAAAAAAAAAAAAGATGAAGTCAAAATTTTAAGTTGAGCGATTCAAAAGACATTTCAAGTTATGCTAATGTGGAAATTGGCTTTCAAAAACAAAACAAAGAAATGAGACTTGACAGAACAAATCCTCCCTTGTTTTTTCCCACTTTAAAGATACTATTACATACAACTCAGCAATCTGCTTCCCTTGTCCTAAATTGCCATAAATGTCAATAGTTTATATTTCAAATTTGTTCCAACTTAAATGACTGTTTTGGCCACCCCAAAAGATACAAGTTGTGTTTTGAACAGCGCGGGCACCTCGAGCGAACACATCAGTACCTGAGTCCCGCCACCACGCTCTGTGCACTCTTTGGCCACTTTCGTCAGATTCTCCACATCTCTGCCATTGAGAGCCAGGACAGCTCCCAGTTTCGCAAACAGGACGGCCGTACCTGCACCGATACCCGAGCTGGCACCTGTGATCAGGGTCACTTTTCCCTTCAGGGAAGACACCTGAAACAGACATGACACAGCTGAACTTCAAAACGATATATAAATTGCAATCTAGGAAATGACTTTACCGCTTCTGAAAGGGCGCGAAGCAAATCAAAACAACTTTATTTCTGTAGCACACTTCATACACAAGGCAACTCAATGTGCTTCACACAACAGCTAAAAGCATTTACATACAGGACAATTGAAGACAACAGCAGCTTATTAAAATGACTACAAAAAAAAAAAAAAAGACCATATGTAAGCACAACCAAAAGATTTCAAGACATTTCAAAGCAAAGGACATAAAAGAAAAAAGCAGCATTCTGAGACTGGAGAGTGAAATCGATTATAAAATGCTGAAATTCACAGGAATGTGTGTGTGCGTTTGGGGGCGGGGTGGCATTTATACTTAGGGCTGACTGCACTTCCAATGGTAAATTTTTCTATTCACGTGCAGCGTAGCGGCTAAATGCTACTCCACCTCGTTTGCTTTGAAACGCCACTTTTCTTCATGTATTGAGCAACCAAACCATTCAGGAGGAGTCGATGTGACGGAATAAACTTCCTGGGTGGAACCTTGGGTGAGAGTCTTTTGAAACTTCCTGGGTGGAACCCTGGCCTTTTCTCCTGGATGTGGACCGATTGTGATAATTCAGCGATTTTAAAGAACAACTTTTTTTTTAATCAGATATAATCCAGTATAATTATGCAGATTTCAAAGGGCTTTTGCTTTAAAACGCAACATCCGATCTGAATAAAACTGCCTCGTTGCAATTCTGAGCTGGTCTAGTTTCTCCCAGGAGTGGATTGATATTGTGTGATCATTTAGCGATGAGTTTTTAGATCAGGTTGAATGACAGTCAAATAGGCATATTTCACAGGACCATTATTTTGAAATGCTAAATCAGATCTGGAGGTGGAGGAAACTTCCTGGGTGGAATCACAGGCTTGTCTCATCTTGCGTCTCCTAAATGTGACGACAAGGTTCATGATCCGCCTCGATAAACAAAACTGAACAAATACACAGACTGTTTGAGATGCAAAGCATTGCTGTCCAATTGTCCGTTGACGTTTGGTCGATTTTTACTTTGAAATGGGTCCACGCACCGCGTGAGAAGTGTGTGACTGTCATGCTGTGTCTCAACAGACATTGATCAAATCAATCAGGGGAGGAAGGCTTGGCTTGGTCTTTTCCAGTGCAGAATGGCCTGGCTGCAGCAATTCAGACAAACAAACAGGCATTTCGCAGGCCATGTTGACCCTTTGAGTTTTTTATTAGAATGGAATGACCTCCCACTGAACATTCGGCAAGCCTCCTCGCGGACCATCTTTAAAACCTGCCTCAAAACTCACTTGTATTCTTTGGCATTTGACTCAGCATGACTCAGATTTGTTCTTGGTTTTGCTGTTCGGTGCTTTCTACCGTCTTTGTTACCGATTTGTTGCTTTACTGTTGTATATGTTAGTTGCTCCATGTACAGCACTTTGTATGCAGCGATGGCTGTCTGAAAGTGCTCTATAAATACAGTTGAGTTGAGTTGAGTTTATTAAGTCGTGCCCTTTCGACATCATGCCTGTAATATGCTGTATTTAAAGCTAAACAAAATACTCAGTGGAAAGGATCAGAAGAATAAATGATTGAATCCATAAAATAAACTTACTCTTAAAGGGTCACTTGAGGCCGACATTCCACTAACTTGCATCAAGTGTCCGAATTTCACGCTGCCAGTGTATAAAAAGGCTGAGATACATGGGCGGAGCTACGTGGGGGCCACCACCACACCTCCATTTGGTAACTGCTGCCTTTTCCTCCCAATGTCACATTGATGTAGTGCTCTGAGATCCATTTGATGCTCTGCCGTAAGCTTTTTTTTTTTTTTGATTAGCTGCATATTTTATAACAATGACCTCAAAGAAAATTCACATCTTTTAGTCGAAATCGGTCACAATGATTACTGTCACACCATAAGAACCAAACAACATAACTGAGAAGTCATTGTTTATCCTACCATTCACAATCATGGCTTTTTGAATCAAGTATAGCAGTCTTGCACACGCAGTCATAATACAAAAGCAGGAACAAACCGAAGTAAAAAGCAACATGAAGGATGAAGATCTTTTTCTGTCATTGTGCTTTTCAGATATGATTTGAAAGAACGAGCCAGTTGCACAATGCAAACAATTGAAAATGATTACGTGTATGCAAATGAGCGCATGAGATGGTAAACAAATGCAAAACAACACTAAAGAAAATTGCATTAAATAATAAATTAAGATCAGCAAAACATTTTTTTTTTTTTTTACTTAAAGACTTGTTCCGCATGCACACATGCCTACGCAGCACCTCACTCTGGTATTGTCTCACCCTGGCCA